TAAGACACCATCAAACAGTCAGGTACAAGTGTAACATTAAAAATATTCTTATACGAATGTAACCATATTTTTACTTTACTAAATCTTGACTTTTCTGAAGTCAATGTCTCTAATCTTGTGAATCCTTGATTACTCAAAGAATCAGATGATATTTTTTGTAATCCTCTTCAACTAATTTCTCACATCTAATATATAAGATTGGGAGACTGCTAATGTACCTCTTATCCACAAAAGGACAATAAGTCTATCTTAACTAACTACAGGCCGAAATATGTCTACATTTGTTACACATTCACTTCCTACTCTCTCAACACATGTCTGGATTTAGAAATGGCGATTTACCAATTCATCGACTTCCTACTATCACACGTAACATTTATTCTGCTGTAAGAGACTAAATGGTTAAATATTAATTTCATAACTGATAAAAAGCATTATAATATTTAAATATCTGTTTAAAATTGTGTACTTTCTGTTAATCATGGTATTTTAAAGTTTGCATAACCATCTTATTAACAACGTCAAAAAATTCAAATAAAATAGGAGCAACCCAACACTAATTCATACCATTATCGTTCGGAGAGTGTAAACAATGTTTGTGGGCGTTCAATATAAGATTCAGATGAACTAAAATTCATTTATTTCACTCTGTCACGCGTTTAGCGTGAAACAAGAGGTCATTTTACAAAGTAAGAAATGAAACATGGCTGGCAAATTAAGTTTTGGCTAATTACATAAGTATACATAGTAAGAAAGCATATCAAACGACGGGTTAAAATGAAAGGGCACGTGATGAACTCGGCTATCTGCGATCAAAACGCGATGGGTGGTAGACACAACAGCGAGTGTCGACTAGCGTTTGTTTGAAGCTGATAATCTTTATCAATTTCTCTCAGAGAGTGTTATAATTTTGTGAAGAGTCTAATTTTAAGTATTACAACCCTTGCCAGAAATCAAACGCATGGTAGAAAATGGAGAAATCTGACCATTTGATCCCTTTAAGCAATGGTAAAGAAATACGTATGTGTTTGTTTTGTTTATATATATCAGTAGAGCGTTTTATCGTGTTTGGCATGAGGGACTCCTTAGTAAGCTTTCTTGTTTCGGAATTCGGGACTCGCTCGTTAAATGGTTCGAAAATAATCTTCATAATCGCAAACAAAAAGTTGTTATCGGAAAAGTCTCTTATAGGTTGAACATTAAGGCCATCATCATCATTCTTGTTTGAGATCAAGATACAACAAAAGACAAGAAATCGACAAAATTCAGGTGATAGGTAGAAATTTGAATATATATAATTTGGCTCAGTCATTTAAAGCGAAACCTCCTATTGGAGGGCGTGACCTGTGTCATGGCATCATTTCAAGAAAAATAAGCGTGGGATGCTTGTCGTAGGTATATCACACACTCTCGGAGAAATTCCTTAGAATTGCGATGGTCCCCAGGAGATCTGCGCCAAGCACAGTTTTAAGGAAGTGTCCATTGTCCATGCTGTCTTGGGCAAAGCAATAGCCAAGACAAAAACTCTCCAGAATTTCAAACATGAAGCGCGATCTTAAACCAGCCGTGTGTTCACAACATGTAAACACGCGCACAATGACGTCCTCGATTTGGCGCTGACATCTGTGACACAATGACGAGGTGCGGTCTGGCACGGTCGTGATAAGTTTACAGACATAATAAACGTCTCTTAAATGAACATTTGCCGGGACCTTGAACAGCTGTAAAGCGTTGTTCGGATTATGAATACCCTTAAATCTGCTGATGTCTTGATCAATATTCGCGAGATAGAACTGCACGGTTCACAACCCTCTTCCATTCATTTTTGGATGGGAAATTACGAGTTCGGAAGTAGGAAGCAATGAACTTCATGAGGCCATAGTGATAAAGTATGGCAACAATATCGGGAATGAAACCTTGCTGTTTTACACTAGTGTCGAGAAAGTATTGAAATAACCTCCCGCGGAAGATCCGTTTGATGTGGTACTTGCATTCAAGGGAAATCACTTTTTGAAGAAAAATATGTTTTTCTTTTGAATATTTCAGCATCTATCCTGACAACTCCCAGCATACTTTCCACCATGTCGTTACGTGCTGATCTCTCGACATTCAGAATATGTTTCAATGCATGATGTTGGAACTGACGGAGTAATAATACGTCCCAGTGTTCGCAATCGTAAAGAATGGAAGGTAACACTATTTTCTTGTATATGTTTAATTTAACTATCGAGTCTAGGTCACAGACGTTCCAGTCATTGAATCCTAAGATAGCGTTTAGAGATTTGCGCCCTTTCTGGCAAGTCCGGTCAATTCTCTCCTTGTTGGAAAAGGAGGAACAAGCCAATGTACCGAGATGAAGCTGCGTGGTTTGTGGATCAATTGTCTTAGATTCTAAGTACCAATTGAACGCAGTGCTTCTTGGTGCGAAATTTCCAAAGACTAAGACGGAAGATTTTAAGTTGTTTACGAAAATTTCCACGAAACACTGTAACTATAGCGTATGTTCAGCATGTGCTGTAGAGCTAACGGCGAGACGGAGATCAATTCAATATCGTCCGCTAGGGTAGGATTCCCCGCTTGCACAGAGAACATGCTTACTTCATAATTTGATGACTGAAGCTCAACGAGAAGCTTGTCAATGTACACTTAATATAGAAATGTGAAACTAACACCACCTTGTCTAACTCCCGAGTTAACAGCGACCAATTTCGATATAACGCCATTACAGGAGACGGCACTTGTCATACTTCCTTAAGAGTCACGAATTACATCGTAGATCGGTCCGTTTAAGCCAAGACAGGACAGCTTGTTAAAGAGACCATGATGCCGAACGGTGTCGAACGCCTTCCGCGAATCAAGGTAGGCAACGTACGCTGTGCTGTTTTTCGACAATGCAGAAAATTGCTTCTTGTGCATGAAATGAAGCCATGTAACATCCAAGATGTTTGCGGAAACCGTATTGTTGCTGGCAAGGAAAAACATCTGTGTTCGCAGTTAAGCATGATTGGATCTTTGTTGTAATGATAACTTCAAAGAGCTTTTAGAGGGAACATAACAGTGAAACAGGTCTATAATTGCCCATGTCTGTCTTGATCTTCGAACCACCTTTGTGAATTGGTATTATTCCCCAGGGTTCGATATTGGGTCTCCTGTTGTTAATCCTTTTTATAAATGGCACTGTGAAAGACCATCACTTGCAGATGACACCTCTTTGTACGCCATTATAAACACACCCAGCGTAGAAATCTTAAATTAGGATCATTAAAATTCATGAATGGGTCCGTTTATTGTTAGGTAAATTTTAATCCTATAAAGAAAAAAAAAACTTAATTGATATCTAAGTCCAGTAACACTCCAATTCATCCTCCCCATACCATGAACAATACTTTATTCACTGAAGCTAGTACGCATAAGGATATTGATCTTATTATCTTTTGTTTTTTAATGTTGATTGGACCAATCATATTCACTTGATTTAATATATATATATGCCATACACGGGGATCTCTATGCTTCGTCTTTAAAAACAAATATAATGGAATGACCACGTACATTGTCTGGTTGGTTGTTCGGATGGAGATAACCCTTAACTCCTACTTTGATACACTAATATTTACTTATTTTGCCGTATCGTATACTTGTATTTAGCTATATCATGTAGCTTGTATCTATAGATAAACAATTTAAGACGCCGTGATTCACCATGTGTGTATGATAATTTTATTCTTTATTACCATATATTCCATACAAGTAAGATGTTTCCATTTTCGGAGATTCATTTGTTTTTATATGTACTTCGGAAAGGATTCAATATAAGCATTTTTCCGATCCCAATAAGTATGTATATGTTCAGTTTTTTAATTTTGCTTCAAAATAAAAAAAATACTGTTTAAGCTAGTATAAGCGCGTCTCCTCCTATACCCTTCAGCGTTAATGATAAAATTTTATTAAAACTCGACCGAGAAATACTTTCTTTTTCAAAATTAAAACGATGTAGAAGTTCCTATGTGTGTGATGTTTAAACAAACCTGACACACTGGTATAAACCATTCCGACCTGGGTGATTAGTACTTGAAAAGTCCTTGATAGAAACAGAGACGTCTGTATTAAACGTCCCTGATAGAAATCAGAAAACATTGCCACAAAACACAAATAAAATTAAAATATGTCCTTCTTATTGACCCTTTTTCAGGCCGAACAGGAAACGCAGATTTCTGCTACATGGCAGATGTATAAATATATGTGCGACCCATATCAGATTATACGTCCCTGGTTATAGCCAATAATTGTAACGAATCCGAGTTTACTTGTTACTTGTCAATGACGTAATAAAGTAATCAGGTATAAAAAAAATAACATTTAAGATATTCGTTTGTATTTTTTCTGTTTTATTTCGCCAGCTATATACAGAATCATATAAAGTTGGAGCACATCAACAGCGTCTGCATATTTCACCTTTTGATGTGGATCGATATAGAATCTCGCTGCAAACCGAAAGTACTCGCGCACTCTTATAATTTCGAAATGCATCATGGGAAAATTAGCCGTACAAGCAGGAATGTGGTAAATAGACCCACCATGTTGAAATCATTTACATATGTTTTTTGTCTCGATTCAATTTCATTATTTTGTTTTAATGACAGAGATTGCGAATAGTAGCGGTGCAATACACAGCTTATACACAAGGTAAGGAATGTCATTTACCTTGCAAGTAGCAAATATGCATGTAACGGACGCGCATTTTCTTTGAAGCGGATATTGTTGCACCACACGAGAAAACATTGAACAGCTGATCGCCTATGGCGATGATCGAGTAGGAAGGGAAATCTCTCACTGTTTGTGAGAATCTGATAAAATCAGATGTTCAAAATTTATCTGAAATGTACATCTAGAGATATGAGGATGAAATGGGATTTTGCACGAAACCGTAATACTTATATACTGGGGCCTTATCCTTAAACGAACTTTCACCAATTCAACGTCAACCTGTCAACTGAGCCATGGAGGTATCGGAGAGTGCTGAGGCGAGCAGTTCTCTTTCTGATGTTTACGCCAGGAGAAACAGACTGACCTCGACGCACTACCTCAGTCAGTCTACGGATATTGTGGACAGTCAGGGGTCAAGTAACATGGACTTCGCGGCAGGAGTGATGGCTTCAAGTTCTAGTGGTTTCCGGGGGGATAGAGATATGATTGACAGCTCGCACAGTGAGGAAATGTCGTTTACACCTGTAAAACACATTAAAGGTATGCAAATATTCACAGGTCATTGACCACTATCGGTATAAATAGCTGCGATTAAAGTATTACAACTATAGATACCTTTTCAAGTATTTGACTTCTTGTATAATTTGTAAACAAAGTTCTAGTTTAGGTTGATGTTAATAAAAGCATTAATTAATGTAAGCACAATACACTTAATGAAGATTTCATTTGACATTATCAGAGACCGTAAGATGAGACATAGGTCTCATAGACTTATTGAGATGGTGTAGTCAAACCCACCTTACAAATTAACTGTAGTTGTTCAACAAGCTTAATATAGGCACTGTCATTTGCATGTGTTGCATCCTTGCATTGGTTATAGAAAATACTCATGTGAAGTACAGCATCATGCCTAAAGTATTTGTTCAAGATGGCAGAAACAGGAAAAAATTAAAAAATTAAAACTGAGATTAAATATGGAAATTATCAACACACAAACATAATATTTGGTAAGGTGCCCTTTTGATTGTATTAATGTCCACAGACTATACAGAGAATTGACGTATACAGAGCTTTAATATAATTAAAAGTAAAGGAAACACAGATATTCAAAATTTAAAATCATGGCAAATAGTATGCATTGTGACATGTCATAATATTCCAGGCCTGATTGTTAAGTGCTTGTTTGGTCACCAACCATTAATTTTTGATAATGTTGGCATCAGAAAAGAAGAATGGTCATGTGATGGTAAGAATGTTATTTCATTGTCTTCATTCTTTTTGTGTCTTATGTGCTGGATCATTGTCATCTTTTAAATGGTCTGAACTGTTAGCATAATGCCAGGCAGTCCAGGGCTTCAGGCAATATAATGTCTCCTTGAACCATACAGAGGCCCCAACACAATATTAAATACTGAGCTATTGTAATGCTGATCATTTCTACCTGATTAGTTCTATTTCTCATAGACATTTAATGTGACATTTTATGTCTATGAGGTGAAAACCAATGAACATTTTGTGGATTAGTACATATGTCATTTTAAACTATTCACTGTTGATTCTAGGCAAATTACCTCCCCTTTTCGACAGAATGGTTGTTTACATGAGAACTGCCCAAATAAGACAATTTTATTTGACAGTTAACATATCTTATTTGTCATCAGAAACCTTCGGGAGAAATTGCAGAAGAAAGCGTGGACAATTTTTTATGATATCACCATTTTGAGAAAATTGTGAATACCTTGTATATGCTGTCTTGGTATTCTAGCTAATTCTGTGCAGTATATATTATATGTGATAAACTATACATTAAAAATCTGAATAGTCTCCATTTCAAAAACTTTTAAAGGTCCAAAGGTCAGGTTGATCACATACAAATTATATTGTACAGAAATTCATCGGAATTTAAAGATTGCATACCTGGGTGTAGACAATCTTTGAATTTCCAAGCCAAACAAGTTCATTATTTGGTTTTTTTTATGTATTTTGAAAGATCAGAATAATTTTTAAAATACTTCAATATAATAAAGGATTATTTGTGCATAATTCCATTGCAGACTTCATCAAATATTTTGACTGAAGATCTTAATAGATTGCCTTCTGTTTTCTGTTCTATCAACAAACTTATATCAACATAATGGTTACTACATTGTAGGAAAAGGTGCTACTTATATTCTGGTGCGGCTAATACATGTATCAAATTGAAAAAAAAGGATGAAAATTAGCTCTGCAGCTTATATACCAGTGCAACTTTTAACCCGAAAAATTCATTATACAATATACTTTATCATTATGACATAATCGACTTGAATAATCATATTATCATAACTTTTAACCCTGAATATAATTTTAATTCTGCAGAAGAAAATGTGATTCAGGCTGCTGCTGCTGATTCCAACAGTCCTAAACAGACTTTTGTTCCCTGCAAAGTGTGTGGAGACAAAGCATCTGGTTTCCATTATGGTGTCACATCTTGTGAAGGATGTAAGGTGAGATAGGGAAGAAATGGAAATAGCTTTTCTGTAATTCAAAAACATATGCTACAAGATGACCTTTTTTCTTATTCTTCATTATTTTTTAAGTTAATAAAGTTAAAAATCTCATATGCATCTATAGATGTCATTTCTATATTTGTCGTTGTGACAGATTAATGTCCACATCAAATAAATAATTTTCTCTCAATGCAGGGCTTTTTCCGCCGTAGTATACAGAAACAGATAGAATACCGGTGCCTGAGAGATGGAAAATGCATGGTGATCAGGCTAAACCGAAATCGATGTCAGTACTGCCGTTTTAAGAAGTGCCTGGCAGTGGGCATGTCTCGAGACTGTAAGTTTATAGAAATATCTAGCAATAGTCGATGGATAATAATCTGGGGAAAAAAAGCATAACCCAAAAAACATTCTACTTTATGTATCATCTATATGCTAGCACTATTTTCAGTATTTGTCAGTTTAAATTTTACATTTGTCAATCTTTATATCAGAAAAAAAAATGTTTTTACTTCATCATTTTTGATTGAATAGTACTAGGAATGAATAATTATTTTTTAAGGAAACAAATTTGTGAAGTTTTATTTATACACTGTGAAGCTGTAACACAAAACTAGAGTGCAGTTAGTTTACTTAAGGGTACACATATATGTTCATAATTGACAGCTGTGCGTTATGGTCGAGTGCCAAAACGTTCCAAAAGCCAAGACGATCAGTGTGTGACTTCAACAGAACAGAATCTGGATCAGATAGACTTGGAAAACAAACAGCTAGCCATCTATGATATCATTCTCAGTGTATCCCAGGCTCATCATGCCAACTGCACTGTGACTGAGGATAAAGTCAAACATTTACAGAAGAAACAGTCAACTCTGGTAAGTCAACAGTATATTAGACAATGTCATATGTATGCTAATTAAAGGCCAGTAATAGTGTGACAATTTATTTATTAATTGTATTATGGCACATGTGTAAAGACTGGGTTATACTTACTTTTAAGTTGTTCTGTAGTGTCTGGTAGTACTTAACATGTAGCAGAGTTCAGGTACACATTTTTAAATCTGATTGACCTGAAAACCATACTGCAAGGGATCCTACAGGTGCTCGTTACAGCCCTACATATAAGTAGATATAATATCATATTTATTGTGTTGTACAGATGCAGCAGATTTCAATTCCTACTACCCCGGTCCAGTTCACAGATGAAGAGTTGGAGACGCAGAAATTGTCCATGTGGTTGTGCCTCGCCTCCCTCATCACACCTACTATAAACAGTGTGGTAGAATTCGGCAAGCGTATACCAGGTACACCCTACCTAGGATAACTAGGGATCAGTTTCCTTGGTCTTTTTAGGTCACATGAGACTCAAATGACTCGGTAGCATTGCGATTGCCTTTTGTGTGGTGTCATCATTTTGTATTTTCCATCTGTAAACAATTGATAGTTTTAACTTTTGAAAAAACTCCAGATCTAATGTTACCAAAACTTAATTCAAATAAACTCAAATTTCAAAAGTCGGCTTCTCAGAAAAAGAAAAACATCTGTTGATGGATGGAAGAGTTTTAAGGTACATTGAGCAAATTGTAAATTTCATGACCCCAGGTTGGCATGTCTTCCCCAGTTAAGAGAAGATAAAAGTTTTACTGAAGCTATGCAGGAAAATTATATTTTTGAGCATTATTTGTTCCTTAACATAAACTTTTATAGAAAATAATTCAAACTTTGTGAGAATTTGAAGAAAGGATAGTCGTTTGATGGTGTGTACATATAGACTCTGGCAGACCCAGTGGAGCTAATAGATGGGGCCTGAATCGGTAAAATTGATTCAAGTTCGAGAATTTTTTTCAAAAATCAGATTTAGTAGAATAAGGATATCTTTGTATGGATGGAAGGGTTCTGAAGTACTTTTCAAAATTTTGAATTTCATGAACCCACAATATCCTATTAACCCCTCAGTAAGGGTGAAATTTTATCATTCAATAAAAAACTTAGGAGATTTAAATCAAATTTATTTATTTTCAATGGAAATTATTCACACTGGGTTTGATAGAATCATTAACCTTGGAGAGTTGGTTAAATACATATCTGTTACCAGTATATCAAACATCAACAGTAGTTATCACCATATTGTAAGAAAGGGTACAGCTTATATTCCAGTTATGCTTATATGTGGATCAATTCGAAAAAATCAGTAAAAATCAATTTTGCATCTTCTATACCAGTGTGACTTATAAACCAGAATATATGGTAGTAATATACAATAAGTAATTGTTTCTTTATGGTCCCTAACCACTGCTTAGTAGGTTACACACAGGTTTAAGCATATTTAAAGGTAAATTTGAAACTGACATAAAGTCAAGTTAATCTAGCTAAATATTGAGAGGCCTAGAAAATCTCATTGATTAATTACACATCATAACCTGACAGGAGGTTGATAGTGGTACATGATTCAAGTCACCTTTATTACAAGTTTAATTTTAAATGCATCGCATTGTAAATTCTTGGATTGATTTCTTGATACTTGCTTCACCTGTAGGCTTTTCAGACCTCTCTCAGGACGACCAGCTCATCCTTATCAAGGGCAGCTTTTTTGAGGTCTGGCTCACTAGAATGGCACGAATGTTCAACAAACAAGAAGGCATCCTGACTTTTGAGGAGGGCAACATGATACAGAGAGAAGAACTGTCCGTGGTGTTTTCTGTAAGTTTACTTAATGGGATAATACATGGACATTACAAGTCAAACATTCCTGTTTTAAATTTTGATTTTTTAACCATATTAGATAATCAGTATGTCAAAATTAGAATGTTCCAAATCTTACTGTCAGTTAATTACTGTTTAATTATTACACGGATCTAATATTTCGCAGCTGTCCAAGATTGGGCTAGTTCAAGGGTATTAAATTTCAGGCTAGTCTCTGATCTAGTGTCCTTATACATTTATAATGGATGTTTTCTGAGGTTTTCGTTAACTGTAGAAATGTTCCTTGGGTGTTCAATTTTGCGCTTTCTTGACTAACAGCAAATATAGCAAACTTCTTTCCTTCTTTGGAGTTAAGCTTGTAATATTCTGATGGTTACTTTATAACAAAACCTGTAGTCATAAAGCTACACTATAAACACATCTGTCAAGATCTTGCCAATAGTTGTTTTAGTAGTTAATTTTTTTCAAAAAATGTTTTATCTTTAAAAGACATCAATGGACAGTAAATATTTTTAAAATATCATTTATAGTTGTTGAAATATAAATCATAAAAAATTGTTTTGTCATAAAACAACATCCCTATGGGAAATAAATATTTTCAAAAATATTGTTGATAGTTGTTAAAACATAAACCATGAAAAATATTAAAACATAAACCATGAAAAATATTTTGTCATAAAAAGACATCCCTATTGACAATAAATATTTTTGAAAAATATTGTTGATAGTTGTTCAAATATAGATTGTGAAAAATAATTTGTCATAAAAAGACATCCTTATGGACAGTGAATATTAAGTAAAAAATACTTTGTAAGTACTATGTTTTTGCTGTGTGACATTTTAAAGTTATCTGCTTTTACAGCCGGAGTTTGTATCATGTATGTTTGACCTGGCTATTAGCTTCAACCAACTCAACCTCAATGATACAGAGATCGGTCTGTTTGCTGCAATAGTGCTAGCTACACCAGGTAATTTGCATGCTAAAAGAAAGTGTTTCAAAAGTTTTGTTGGAATAATGTATGGAATATAATGATTGATACACTAAGAGATGATGGTATACAAAATAAACAGTGAATTTTTAAAACGGAATATCAGAGTATTTATTGAGACTCTTGGAATACCTGGTAATTGTCCAGTATTCAACTCATATATCCGTCACATTAGAAAGGGACACTAGATAGGAATGTTTCATGAATATTTTCTGTTTTGATAAATATGCAAAATCAGTTTTTTCCATGATTAAATTTAAGAGTAATTTGAATTAAAAGTAAATTTATTTTTAGTTCAGATTTTTCCAAGTGATTTAAATATTTTAGATTTCCATCATAGTGATATATTTTTAAGTTCCTGTATGTAAAACTTGTGAAGATTTTGCTTCTAGATCCACATTTTGTCTACAGCAATCTTAATTTCAAATTCAGATCGCAGAGGTCTTTGTGATATGAAGTCTGTGGAAAAAATCCAGGACAAGCTGATAGAGGCTCTTAAACTACAAATTTGTCGGAACCATTCAACAGAGGAGAACTTGTTTGGGACCACCATTGTCAAGTTGCCACAGCTGCGATCCTTAGGGAGCCAGCACAATGATATCATACATTGGTACCGTTCCCAGTGGCAGAGGATCAGGTTACCTCCCCTGTTCTCAGAAATCTATGACATACCAAAGCATGCAGATGATTCTTGATTATGGTTCTATCATAAGTGGATTCGTCTTGACTTTTAGCTCGTGAGAATCTATGGACAGAGCTTAACCTTATATAATGGGATATCTCTTCAGAGGAAGGCAAATTCCTGATTGTGTGACAATTTTAAATACATGTCATGGACAGAACTGGAAGTGGGTTGGTTTCAGGTAATTTTGAAAATTATAATGTGTAGGACAAGCCCCAAGGGCTTATATTATGTTACTGAAATGGCAATATCTAGTACATATTTAGCTAGTATGTTTTTTATCAAACTGAGCGGGGCTGATCAGGGGTTCTCACTAAAAAATTCGTGATCTACCTCACTTATATTTACAGATAAAATTATTATCTCTTCTTGTCACTTTGAATTTTGGCAAAATCTACCAAAGACAACTCTTGCTAGCAGACTGGTGATGAGAAATCTACATCGGAATGATGTGGGTTTTTTTCACATTTAGCCCATTTGACCATCGGCAGCTTATCAAATCTTGGTTTCAGAGTCTAATCAGGAATAAAACCCAGTCAATGGGTGCCTTAGTTTTTGTCTAGTATCAACACTTTGTGAAGGAACATTTTTAGCTCACGCTTTTACAAATGAACTTTGTTATTGTGAAATTGCAGAGGAACATGTATAGCTTACTCTTGTTCTTAAAATAGCCTTAGCTAATATAAAAATATGAAGACTTGATAGGCTTACAGTCGTCTTCAAAAGGAACAAATGTATGTGAAATTAGTTAAAACTACTTTTTAGCAACAATCTCTTTTTTTTCTTTCTTTTCTTTGTTTTTTATTTAATCTGATTCATTTTTTCACAATAATTGTTTCATGACTTTAGCTTCTTTCAAACATTAGGACAATACTGATTTAGATTATATGTTCAATGGTTAGTTGGTGTCAACCAGGACTCTGGTGTAAACCTCAATCAAGGGAAACTATGTATCATATGTCTGAAGGTCCAGTTTAGACCTGAACACGATAATACTTATCCGTTTTTTTTTTTTTACTTTTGATCAGTAAAGAATATTTGATACAAAATAGGATTTTGTTATGGAGAAGCTAAGCATGATACTTTAAAACATGATATTTTTATGAGAAAGGACTGTGAAAAATTCAGGTTTATTTTTAGATCCTAGTTGGATTTATGCATCAAGCTGGTATAGTTTTAATATTTATATGCAAACAATTTTGGTCAGTTTTCAATTTACAATTCATCCTCAACTCAGGTTTAAGTAAGATTTGTCTCGGGTCATTTAAGCATTACATTTGGTAGAAATTGCCTGTTGTTAGGTAAGATTATCTATATGATGGTCAGTCTTAGAATTGATATGCTCAGGTGAAACTTTGCATTAATTAGTTTGAACCTTTGATCAGCTTCCACAGTGATTCAGCATTGTTATTTCCATATCAGTACATCATTATATCCACATGTGTGTAAGTAAACTTAATACCTTTATAGCGTTTGATGTCATGTTCTTGTTGTACCTACTGGTTGTATAACAAACCAGGACTATTCACATAGTGCTTATTTTTTTAACTGCTAGAAACTTTTAAGGAATCAAATGGAATCATCATCAAGTGTTTTCATATTATTGTTTGTTTTTTCATTATTATAATTGTTGTTTTTAAAACTGTTTTGTTTTCATTGCTATTGGACGGAACTGATCAGATCCAGTGTATGTATATATTGCTCTAAAGTGCAATCTTGTTTACCTGGAATCAGCTTAAACTGATCTTCACTACAAGTACCCAGTGTTTTTGTTAATGGTTTTTTTTACTTGTTTATATATTAATTAATTGTTTATATTTTGTTGTATATTTTCAGCTTTGTAGGAATTCAAAAGGAGAGAAATTCAATATAGCATCTAAACATGATTTTTTTTATTCTTAATATGTACTAGGTACATTTTGTCTGCCAAATTGTACTGCAGTGAACTTACATTAGTGAAAAAGTGTTACATAGGATTGTATTTCAATTTTTACAATCACAAATTAAACAGTTCCTTAAGATATTTTAAGTAAATTTCATCGACTTGTCTCCTTCATCTGTATCAAATATGCAGAAGGACAATAGGCTCATGTAAGAAATCTGACCCATAGTGTTAATTATGTCCAAGTGGAACCCAATTACTGTGAAGACATTACAGTGAATTGATGAATTTTCTCAATAAAAAGAAAAAAATACTGCCATTCAGGGTCTTCAAGGTGATGTGCTTGATATATCTTGGATGCACATTCATTTAGGGGTATCCATAGATTTCAAATTCAATTTAATTTCAGAAATTCGTTTTGAAAATATATTGTCTCACTTGACGCTCTGTACAAGAGTGATGTAATGTTTAAAGATCTGTTTTCATAAAAGTGAACAGGATTTCTAGTCATAAAAATAAGCATTCAAGTTATAGATAGCTACCCGGTATATATATAGTATCATACAACTCATAGCTCTTCTCAAAAAATACCCACTATGTACAGTTTTCTGAGCCAACAGGCGAAGTCTTAATTACTTACTAGGTATCATTAAACAGGTTTAGTTCTGTTAAATATTGGTGTATATTTTATTTTCTTTTTCATTTTTAAAAGAAAGATAAATGTAGAGAAAAATAGAAAGGAAAAAGTACAGTATAGATATAATGAACTTAGAATACTTATATAAAGGCTATGCTGTGATGATCAGTTTAATTTAAGGCTGCTCGGTTGGCTTGGAAACGTGTTTGTTATTTAAGGCCAGTTATTTCTGAAAGACTTTGTAAAAGATTATTTGAATGGAGGCATTTGTGCATCATTTTATTTTATTGAAAATATGACTGTATTTGCAGGTGTATATTTCATATTGATTTCTGAATTTGACATCATTTGAGGAAGTATGGAGTTAGAATATTACATATAGGGCATGCATCATTTAATAAAATTAAGAATTAATATTTTCATGTTTAAGAAGTGATTAAATTTCTTGTAGTACATTGTAATACCCTAGTATTTGAAAAACATGTAATTGAGTATTATTTTGTTTCGAATTTTGTTTAATAAGCACTTTAATTGGTTATTAGATGAAACTCTTCTGATTTTAGGAAATACTTACATAAAAAAATGTTTTCTTCTGAACATTTTGGTAGTATTGTTACTTTGTACAGAAGAAAACGCTCGATTAGTACTTGGTCAGATTAAGATTGAAAGTCCTAGAGAATTTTATAGCAATGTCATTAACAGATTTTAGCTCCAAGAAAGACAAGTGAGTTATATTCCATGGAAAAGCATCTGTTTTAATCTGTCTGTTGATTCTTAATTTGATACATGAAATACAGGAAGATCAAAACTGAATGAAAATTGACAAAATTTTATATCGAGTATCATTGAGCCATTAATACTTGATACATAACAAATTTTATTCCAAGGAATAAGAGGATGGAACCAAATATGGAAATAGGTTAAAATATTCAAAAGTCTGTTTCTTTTGTAGGGAAAAGAAATTGTAGCCTGATTTGGATCCCGTTTTCAGGGAACTCAACATTGTGTTAATGAAGGTAAAGAATTTACCTTCTTTGTTATGAACCATCATAGTTCAGGACTCCAGATTACAAAATCACAATTAAATATAAAGTACTGTATGTACATCATGTACAGTATAAAACATCATGGATGATTTTCATCTATAAGTTTACTCCTGAAAGAGACGTAGTGATAAGATGTTCACTTTGGTTTCACATGATCGGTCTTGGTTTCACATGATCGGTCTTGGTTTCACATGATCGGTCTTGGATGTATCCTGTAGGACTATTGAAACGATGTGAGGATGAGCTATTACAGCTCCTAGCACTCTTGTTATCACTGTTAAACTGACCTTGATCTTGATACTCATAATGATGAATGTATCTCAAAATATTTCATTATAATAAATAATGAGACCCTGTAATAAAGATATCTATTTTTAGTTACACTTGTTAACTTTATGATGATTTGAATAATTAAGGTAGAATTGAAAAATAGTCAAACCAAGCTTTTGGAACACATTGAATATAGATAAGGCTTGTTACCTCCTCTTTATTAATGCCTTTAGTTTTTGGCTCCAATATATTTTTTGGTTATTCTAAAGTAATATCAATCATTTTTTCACTTATTATATGACAATAAATGATACTATTTCTCAGGACACTTGTTTCATCCCCAGACTTACATGTTTGTTCACTATTGTATATACAAAGAAACACAAATGTGTGTGGTATATAATCTTCGATTGAAACAGCTTATGTATCATTTCAAATATATTTTCTGTCAGATTTTGGAGAAAATCATACTTAGGCAGTGCTAATATATGTATTTAAAGTTATTTGATAAACTCTACACATTTTTGTTGAGCCGGTGAAAGTTGTATGATCTCCAGCTTATGTGGATAAACTTTTCTTATAGAAGGAAGAGATTTTCATATACATGTATATACATATGTAAAGAAATCTCTGTAGGATCTGATTACACATTGTACATTGTAAACTTTAATACATTTCATTTCAAAGCTATATACTATAATGGTTAGATTTAGATTAATAAATATTTACTAGATATGAATTTTTTACATCTGTTTGAGAATGAAATTTTACAGTTGACAATATTTTTTTATTATCCAATGAATACCGGTTACTTACAATTGATATATCACAAATTGTATATGCTTACATTAAACTATACATTCTGCATCCATGTTTCTAACAATAAAATCTTCATTTCATTATAAAATCATTATTGCCATTAGGATTTCCCACTGCCAAAAGCTGTCAAATACCAGTACCTGATATATATCATCATTGGCTTTGTCAGGTGGTGACAGAGATTTTGGTTATGTAGTGAAAGAATATTCATGCTGAAATCATGAACTATTCGATTTCCATTATTGTTTTTCATTTCCATACACAAGGTCAAATTTGTTTGTTTTTATAAGTGAAAGATAAATTCTGCAGTACAATTAATATGTAAAAGTTCAACTGATTTTTGTTGAAAAGAAAATCTG